ATCGCTGGATTTCAGTTGCATTGCTAACCGTTCATTTAACCACTATTGCTAGAGTTCATTGTATTTTTAGTGTTTCGCCAATGGACGTAGCGGGGCGATGCGGCATGCAGTTGGCTTTACCCCAGCTCAAGAAGAGGTCCATAGATCACCGGATGGCCCTCTTAGCAGACTAAAGAAAATCAGGTCGTCATCTACGCCGAAGAAAGATTTGCTGCTGAGGTCGTCACCCGGACAGAAATGTAGACCGTAATGTGACGATCCCCGATCCATAAATACCAGAGGTTGCAGTAATCAGCAAGAAGAGATCTTCTTCTACTACGAAGTCAGCAGCCTTATCAACGCAGATACGGACTGATGGCTTCATATCAACGCAGACACGAGGCAGATGTTCATCCAAAGCCTCAGATGCGACTTCGAAGCAGACGTGTTGACCACCCTCCGATCTTCATCCCAGAGGTTGCCCTAATCAGCAGAAAGACGTCAGCTACTACTACGACGTTGGCAACTCCAACGTAGACATGGACTGAGGGCCCTATGCCAGCGCAGACAACAGTCATCCCTGATGTGACGGCACCGCAGACCTTATCAGCGTAGACCTTCGACCCAGGGGCCTTCATGCAACAGTTACTCAACAGATGATGCAGCTGATGGAACAACACTCCCGGACGACAACATCATCGAAATCAACCCTGCACAAAGGACCAGATGACACCTTGACGCACACCTCTGAGGGACCACTACGAGACGGAGAACACTGGCACGAAGGACCTAGACGAACTTCTACAATGTCATCATCAACGCAGAAGGACAGTGCACCTGCACGCAGACGACAACGGAGTTCATCCATCTCATCGGCGCCGTCAGACCCGGGATCGTCAGGACCATGCACGCAGGCACTCACCTCTACAAGGATGCAAGGCGACATCCCGAGACTCCGATGCCAGCCCCTCACCTGCGCGCAGGTCCCTGGACAAAGCTCAATGCAGAGGACGATCACCCTACAGATCTCCACAGACACAGTCATCGCAGATATCTTCATGCAGATCTTCACACGGTCGCCACGCAGATCGTCATGCAGGTCCCCACGCAGGTTGCCACACAGGTCTCCTCACAGATTGCCGCACAGATCTTCATACAGCTTTCACGAAAATGTACGCCGTTCAACATTAGCAGATTTTCCCTTCATTATACGAAGTCCTTCATGATATCATCAGGGGTTGAGATCATCAATTAATCCTGTAATAAATCTTTCAAGGTGAAAGATAATAAGATATCGCACCTGGACATTACAACTAGATTCTACAGTTGAAGAATACAGTCTCAACAGACAGGGGTACAGTCTAGTTACATCGATACCAAGCTGCGAAGTTTTCACGCGCTCCCACTACAGCCATCTATACACGTGTTCACTCGTATAACTTCGGCACACTGAACGGAGACGCTACGGACAAAGCTGAGTGTTGACGAAGAAATCATCGACTGCACAAGATTCTACAGGAATCATCTACCTGCAACACCAGAGACGTCACACGCCCTGCGCACAAACTCACATCTGGAATCTGATTGGTCCATGAGAGACACACCCTTCGCAGAACTCGGTCAGTCACCTGCCAGGAAGTCGTGTACAGTTGTAAACAACTTTTTCAACGTGGGAAAGACTCCATTTACAGTCCAGCTAGCAGGGTATAACGTGGTTTGACCGTCTTCACGGATCATAGAGGTCTTCCCCTGTCAGCAGAAATTATATGGATTATCTGGGGACTTGCAGCGACAAGCGTTAGGTGATTTCTGCTCGTGGCAGCCAGTCGACTATAAATAGACTTACATCGATGGCAGTCCCAGTACATCATAGATTTGCTGATCCAGAGAAGATCATCGCTGCAAAATGTTGGGATTATGGTGACAATATCTTCATTACATATCACAGGAAGATTGATGAGACAAGCTTCAAGCCATGACTCCAGACTCGATCGTCTCTCCACTTCCATTACGGACATGGCAAGGGTTTCTAGAGCCACTTACCTACAACGTAGGACATTATTGCAGTAGATGGCTAGTAATCTCCAATCGGAGTTGGAACCAAAGCAGGATCTTCAATTTCTGCGAATATGACTCATCACACCTTAGAATCACACTGTCGTCCCAGAGGATCATTGGCTCAAGATACAATACAGTGTATCTCAAACAATCTGGATGAGAGCCGTCATTCCACGAGCCTCCAATCCACATGAAGTTAGAGCCTTTGCATCTACACTCGCTCTACATGGAAATTACTCCATCTCTACAATTATGGAGTGTTTGCCAATCACTACCTCAGAGACATTGCTACAGAGGACATCGCCGGCATTCACCAGTTTGGTCCACTTGTTGTAGCACAACAATTGACGATTTCACAAAGGCGCTGAGATGAATCTCATCCCTTTATCACGTGACTTGAGGAAGCCTACACTCGAGAGAGTAAGAGCTTAAGTCCATGTGCACGTCTAGGACAGGCTAGCATGAGTGATTAGACCTGGTACTTGTAAGGACTTACTCGTACACGGAGAAGGGTCAATGCTCCACTTGATGCCAGCATCAAAAGATGGAGCTACAGGAAAAACCACACCTTAAGTCACGAGATGTTTGGAACAATCTGAGAAGCTGTGGTCCCCCCACCCCTCACTCATCAGAGAACAATACTCTCTCCGTTACCACTACAAGAGGGGCAGAATCTACTCGGCCCATCTCGACAATCTGGAACACTTTGGGTTACCGAATCGACTGAAACCATATCTACTATGGTGGAATCGGAATTAGAATGTCTGCGGAGGAACCTACTTATTAGAGTCAGATTACAACAATCATCTCTACGTCGATGCATCACTTCAAGGATGGGGTGCTCACTTCGACAACGGAGTGGCAATGGGGAATTGGTCGAGTAACTGAGTCTGCACACCAACATGCTAGAAATAAAAGCAGTAATCAAAGCCTTACTACATTGATCCAATGTACTAAAGAATGCACGGCTGGCGATCCATACGGACAACTCCACAAGTAGCCTTCTACAACAAGAGGCAGGATCAACAAGATTAACTAATCTTCTAGATCCCAGCTTTCATCTGTTCAGTATCATAGACGACCTGAACATCTACATAAAGGCATGCCACATTCCAGGCATGAATGTCATAGCAGACGCACTATCTCGTCCATTACAACAATCCCCGATAGAATGGATGTTACATCCAGAAGCATTCCCATGCATCTTACAGACGATAGGATCTCCGGGGATACACCTGTTTGGAACAAACAGTTAACACCATTCGTCTTGTCGTTTCCCGATCCACAAGCTGGGGCAACAGACGCTTTAAGCATCACTTGGGAAGGAATAAACGCTTACGCGTTTCCACCCCCAGCATTGCTACCACAAGTGCTACAGAAAATCAGGCAGACGAAGTAACTGCAACTCATTTGGTAGTGCCCTATTGGACAGCAGAGGGTCTGGTCTCCCGTCTTCATAATGAACTCGGCAGTCCAACTTTAACACTACCAGAGTGGCCGACTCTACTCGTCCATCCTCACACCAAACAAGTTCATGGGAACCCCAAAGTGTTCCAGCTACACGCCTGGAGCGTATCACAACTTGTTTGAAGAAAAGAGGGTATCCCGCCTGAGCAGCGAAAGCAGTGACACTAGCTCTACGCAGGTCAACTTGCAACTTATATGATCACAAATAGCAGGAATTTTAACGTTATGCATTAAGGAAAGGCTTCACGGCGGTGACAGCAACTCATCCTCTAAGGGCGGAATACGTATGTCATCTATGACAGACGATGCATTTGAAAGGTTCAACGCTTTCTACATATCCAACGGCCCTCAGCATTGTTATCACCATGAAACGGGAATCAAACGGACCACAGTACCAGAGTTACTGGCACTACTGTGTTCCTTCAAGTTGGAAGAACAACAAAGGAACTTCAAGGCTCCTATTTGAGATCTCAATGTAGTTGTGCAGCATCTCACCAGTGACGCCTATGTACCTTTTAGACCGGACATCCTTGAGTTTTTTAACACATAAAACTCTCTTACTGATTACCTTAGCAACAATGATACGGATGTCAGAAATTCATGCTCTGGACTTTGAACGAACATGCTTCGAATCAAGTCATCATTACATAGTATACTTAGGACTGAGATGGGGCTTCATAGTGAATAATCAACTGCCCGATCAACCTGACAGATAGTTACACATCCCAGCATTATCTACAGTCCTGGCCCCACAGGATACACAGAACCTATCCTTATGCACTGTCAGAGCATTGGAAGTATATCTACAAAAGTCAAAGACGAGGAGACGAAAATTTAAGCGCCTTTTCATCCCTCTATCTACGAAGACGCAGACTGAAGTCTCACGTACGGGAATATCAAGCTGGAAGGAAAAAGGATATGTACCATATAAAGTTCCCACGGGGGTACACAAGACATAAATCACCAACCGTTGAATCCAGAGGCGGCTTGACCCACCACCTTTACCGTTGGATTCTACAAGCAAAAGAGCATGAGTCAGGATAAGGAAAAATATGTTATTTTCTGATTAAAATTGATATTTTATACTTATCCTGACTCATGATGTTAAGCCCTCCCAACCTCCCCTCATGGCACTCTGGATTTCACCGTAAGTTCAGGTGTCGGGCTCATTAGAACGGAGAGAGTGACATGTAAGCTGGGACCACGTGATGTCGGAGCCCGGGAAATCTATGGGAAGGGAGCCTACTCGTGGTGTGTGATTTTACGTCCGCTTTTATGAAGGGAGCTTCAAAAAGGGATTCAAGTGATATCACTATCGTTCGCAAGAGAAAGAGAGCAAGCAAAAGAGCATGCGTCAGGATAAGTATAAAATATCAATTTTAATCAGAAAATTACATTTTACGAGAGCCGGTTTGCAACAAGCTCCTCCACGCAGATGCATCGTTACAAGGAAGGGGTGCACACCTCGACAACGAAGTGGCAGCAGGGAAATGGTCGAGTCAAGAAAGGAATCTACACATCAACATGCTGGAGATGAAAGCAGTAATCAACGCCTTAACCCACTGGTCCAGGGGCCTCAAGAACGCACAACTGATGATCCACACGGACAACTCAACAGTAGCGTTTTACATCAACAGACAAGGCTCAACAAGACCTCGCAATCTACTGCAACTCTGCTTCCATCTGTTCAACGTGGTAGACGACCTGAACATCCACGTAAAAGCATGTCACATTACAGGATCCAAGAATGTCATTGCAGACGCTCTATCTCGACCACTACAACCATCCCCCACGGAATGGATGCTACATCCAGAGGCATTTCGATGCATCATACGCGGAATAACGTCACCAACAATAGACTTGTTTGCGACGAAATTCAACAATCAGCTGCCAACATTTGTCTCACCAATTCCTGATCCACAAGCCTGGGCAACAGACGCCCTAAGCATCTCATGGGAAGGACTCAACCCTTCCACGTTTCCAACCCCAACTTTACTACCACAAGTGCTACAGAAAATCAGCCAAACGAGGAGACTACAACTGATTTTGGTCGCGCCTTACTGGCCAGTGAGAGCCTGGTTCCCCGTCCTCATTAACGACCACGGAAAACCAACGCTGAAACTGCCCGACTGGCCGAATCTACTCGTCCATCCTCACACCAAACAAGCGCACGGCAACCCCACGGTATTCCAACTACACGTTTGGAACGTAGCACGACTTGTTTGAAGAAAAGAGGCTATTCTACCAGGGCAGCGAAAGCAGTAACATTAGCACTACGCAGATCTACTCGTACGCTGTACGATGACAAATGGCGGAAATTTGAGATCTACGCTACAAGGAAAGGATTCACAGCTATAAAGGCAACTCATCCTCAAGTGGCAGAATACCTATGTCATCTACGTCAGACGAGACATCTGAAATGCTCAACGCTATCCACTTATCTAGCGGCACTTAGTTCTGTTATCACCATGAAAACGGGGATCAAACTAACTAAAGTCCCAGAGATACTGGCACTACTACGCTCATTTAAGTTGGAAGATCAACAACGTAAATTCAAGGCGCCTGCTTGGGATCTCAACGTAGTCTTGCAACATCCCATAAGTGACGACCATGAACCCTTAGACAGGACATCTTTCGAGTTGCTAACTCTCAAGACGCTATTCCTCATCGCCTTGGCAACAGCAGCACAAATGTTGGAAATACATGCTCTGGACTTTGAATGAACACGGTTTGAATCAAGTCACCAGGACATCGCACATTTAGGACTGAGATGGGATTTTATAGCAAAGAATCAACTGCCTGGTCAGCCTGACAGACAATTTCACATCCCAGCATTATCTACGGTCCTAGGACCACAGGATACACAGGATTTATCCTTATGTCCGGTCAGAGCACTAAAAATATATCTACAAAGATCTAAGACGAAGAGACGAAAATTCAAGCGCGATTTCATCCCTATATCTACAGAGACGCAGACTGAAGTCTCACGTAGAACTATATCTATTTGGATGCGAGCAGTCGTCCTAAGAGCTTATAAAGCAGCCGGATTAGAACCGCCACACGCCTCTAATCTCCATAAAGTGAGAGCCCTAGCATGTACACTAGCTCTACATGGAAATTGCTCCATCACCACTATCATGGAAGGTTGTTTCTGGAAATCGGACACGGTGTTTGCCAACCACTACCTCAGAGACGTCGCCACCGAGGATGTCCGAGGCATTCACCAGTTTGGTCCGCTTGTTGTAGCACAACAATTGACGGTTCCACAAAGGCGCTGAGAGTTATCTCACCTATTATCACGTGACTTGAAAAAGCCCACACTTGCAAGAGTAAGAGCTTAAGTCCATGCGCAGGTCTATAGACAGATAGCATGAGTGACTAAGACCTAGTACTTGTAAGCAATTACTTGTACATGAAGAATGGGTCAATAATCCATTTGATGCCTGCATCAAACTATGGAGATACAGAAAACCACATCTGAAGTCACGAGACGTTTGGAACAAATCTGACAAGCTGTGGTCTCTACCCCCAGACTATTCAATCGAAAGCTGGAAGGAAAATAAGGATATGTACATAAGTTCCCACAGGGGTATACAGGACGTAAATGACCAACCGTTGAATCCAGAGGCGGCTTGACCCACCACCTACTTCCGTTGGATTCTACAAGCAAAAAAGCATGAGTCAGGATAAGGAAAAATATGTAATTTTCTGACTAAAATTGATATTTTATACTTATCCTGACTCATGAGGTTAAGCCCTCCCAACCTCCCTCATGGCACTCTGGATTTCACCGCTAGTCCAGGTGTCGAGCTCAACAGAACGGAGAGAGTGAAAAGTAAGCCTGGGTCATGTGACCTCGAAAAGCCCGGGAAAATTGAGGAAAGGGAGCCTACTCGTGGTGAGTGATTTTACGTCCGCTTTTATGAAGGGAGCTTCAAAAAGAAGATTCAAGTGTTCGTTCGCAAGAGAAAGAGAGCAAGCAAAAAAGCATGCGTCAGGATAAGTATAAAATATCAATTTTAGTCAGAAAATTACATTTTGGGGGTTATGTTTCTTCATGCTAAAGCCCATCATATAACCCTTTTATGACTGTTATTGTATGTTGTATACACATCATTTGAAACTATAAATCATATGAAACTGCAACGGCATGTGATTGCCCCAAACAACATTGTCTTTGAAGATTGCTGAAAATTCCTGAGATTCTGAATTCAAACATGGCCGCTATGGCAGCAATATTGTACAACTGAAAATGATCTGAGCCTGATTCATATTGTGCATAATCATAGTTAGTAGGGGCCTAACAGTTACCTTCGACTTTAAATGATGTTTATGAAGTTTGACCTTAATTTGACCTTTGAAAATAACATAGGAGTAGCACGGTATAAGGAGAATAACTCACAGTAATTGATAAAATCATTTTGATGATTATGTTTATGCAGAGCGTTGCATTCACTTTGTCTTTTGTTGTTAACACTGCATTACATTGTAATATCAAAAATAAGTTAACAGGCATATGCATGATAATATTCAATTTCCAACACAATATAATGTACATGCAATCAATAATTGAAACGCATTTTCACAACCTGTGCACAGCTGATTGCTATTTCCGCAACAAAATGCTCAAACGTTCACAACAAAATGAAAAGGAGATACATTTTTCATGGTAAATCATCATGTCCAGTGATGTTTTATCTGAAAATACAATTCAATCCTAAATTCGCTCATTGGTAAGATGCAATTTTTTCTGCACATAACATAAGATTCTTTTTCAGAAGAAGTCCTCCTTGGGGTACATAAATATAAGCATTAAAATGTCAATTTTAAATCCAGTTGTAACTATATTTTTCAATAAAATATTTACAAAACAAAAAACTCGTCTTGTCTTGTGAGACCACCAACTCTCGCGTGTACCGCGTACCTCACTTTTCATGATGTCGTTCGGGGCGGTGGGGTAGCCTAATGGTTAAAGCGTTGGCTCCTCACGCCGAAGACCCGGGTTCGAATCCCCACATAGGTACAATGTGTGACGCCCATTTCTGGTGTCCCCCGCCATGATGTTGCTGGAATATTGCTTAAAGCGGCATAAAACCAAACTCAGTCAAAATGATAAAGCCGTTTGATTATTGATGTGTTTACTTTTATTTTGTATGATTAATCTATAATTTAATGTTAGGGTTTTGTATGAAAGGACCTTTGTATTTTTTTCTCAAAGCTTGACTTTTGCTACTTTTGCCAAGTTTATATGCCAATTTATCACCTTATTATACCTCTATGAAATGTACTTCTATGAACACTAGTTTTATCTTTGTTTGTTGACTATGAACTGATAAAGATTAACTTTATATCAATGCTGTTTTGCATGTGCAAGTGGAAAATTGTGCATTCATGTCAGCTGTGAATAACTTGAACAGAAACCCATACTCACTACTGTGTGGGGTCAGGCAACAGGCAGCAAACTGTTACTCTCTATACAAATTGTGTGAGCTGCAGGTGCTACAGGTATAGGAGGACATGTTTACCTTTTAGCAAACACCTGGTGTCATTACTGATTTTCTGTAATCCATTCATAGAATTTTAACCAATATTTTTTTTTAAATTCTCAACCGTTGATGCTTTATATGTACATTTTATCAGATGAATCTTATGGTTATAGAAGAGTTTTGACACCTATGCCAATAATAAGCCCAGTGGTTAACTCTTTTTACGATGTTTCAGGTGGTCCAGTGTCTCGGGTGGTGGACTTGACCAATGCTTCCAATGTCTCCGTCTCCCTTGGGGAACAAGAAACTAAAGGAAGCCTGTCACATGGTGAGACGCCACCTGGCATATTCACATGATCTAGAGAATGGTTATCACTGTACGAATAAACTAAGGACAATTTAGTAGGGTCCTTTGAACTAAGGGGTGGACCAAAATAGCATCATAACTGAGAATACATTGGGAAAAAGAATCCCTCCTCACCTTTTACCCCCATTCTCCACGGGGCATCCTGACTGTACTAGTTATTGTATTAGGGTTCCCTCCCTTACCCTCTCCAGGGGCGGTGGGGTAGCCTAATGGTTAAAGCGTTGGCTCGTCACGCCGAAGACCCGGGTTCGAATCCCCACATGGGCACAATGTGTGAAGCCCATTTCTGGTGTCCCCCGCCGTGATGTTGCTGGAATATTGCTAAAAGCGGCATAAAACCAAACTCAGTCAGTCAGTCAGCCTTACCCTCTCCCTTCTGTTGATGTTTGATTGATCAGTAAAATGTTATATGGTAATCCAGCAGGGTATATTGAGAGAACCACGGAAACAATCTAGTGTGTGTTTACCCAAATGTTTGCCCCGGAGAGGAGAGGATTCCTGTTAATATGGGATAACTAAACTTAACAAATGACTATTTCCTTAAATGTGCACAGTCAAAAACTACATAATATCACTTCAGGTCAATGGATAGGCGATAGTAAACTTAATGTAAATATGAGTTCTGTCTTGGTCACGTGGTGGTTTTGTTAAAGGGCTACCGACTATAAGAACAGGTGTCTTCTTTGATGGGCATTTTAGAAGTTGAGTTGATGAAGAATGATGACAATTTTTATGTATATACAAGTTATTGTATTGTGAAAGGCGACGTTTCGACATAGATGCTAATGTCGTTGTCAAGCAAAAACAACAATACAATGTACGGGTGCTTCGGTGATATTAAGTACCATTGAATCAAACAGGAATAGAGTTATCATTCTTGTTTAAAGTAGTTCTAACGTTCATGCGCCGATAAGAAATCCTTCCAGAGGGGCACGAGTCCGCTTGTCCCGGAATAACACGAGTTGGTCACGAATGCATCATGTCATGATCCTTACCACTTTGACGATTACGAGATTCTGTCTAATATTATGATGAATCATCCCCTGATAGAACATTGACTCCAGCAGACATGCCCCCCATCTTGTGGACTATCTAAAATCTCCTTCACTAGAGCAAACGCCTCCCCTCAGGTGGGGCACAGAATTGCTGATTCAGGAGAATTGATTTTCCCATCTGGCCAGTTGATTGCCAACATCTTCTGGTCTCTGGATGATGTCTTTGCTGATCTTCTGGTTCGACTTTGCATCTAGCTGCCGATTATTAACTAGGATGTGCACTTGCTTGTGAGGACATATCAGGGCCTTATGCTCATTAACGTAGCATCCTTTGTCTGTGGTTGCCTCTGCTAACCTTTCCTCCAATATTGTTTCGCCTCGATTACTGGAGCTGCTGGTATGACAAGCCTCAAAGACTGGGCTCTACTGTCATTAGGTACTGTTTTGCGTTAGTGCCGGGACTTGTCGCTATTATCTGTGATACTCATTTGAAGGACCTAACTAACACGTTTCACCCTGCAGCTTCGGAACAAAATATGTTTCAGGCGACTTCCGTTAAGTGCTCTATGAACCACTTGAGTATGTATCCTTTGAGGACCTTACAGCCAGGATTACTTTTTTTCTGGCGCTCGTCACAGCAGCAGAGTAAGCTTCATGCAAGGGATGTTACATGGATCACTTTCGACCTCGGACATGTTCTTCTTGTCCAGTCCTGGGATAGTATCTCCTTGTCAACTCAATCACCAGGTCCACATAATACCCCTCTCTGAAATAGTTGGCTTAGAGGACCAGGAACTATTATAGCTCTACTCCTTGTCAGGACCTTATATACCAGTGCCAACACAGCCCTGTCGCTAGCGTTAGCGTCTGTACACGCAGTCTCAGACCGTGTCAACACTGAAGTGCAACCTCTAGCAGCCAACAATCATACAAGATCTGAGCCCTCCAGTGAACAGCTTTGGTCTGGGCCATCATGGAGGGATCCTCCTGGAGGTTGACAACTGTGTTTGCTGACCATGACTTGGATCACGCCTTGTGTATATTCTTCTATGATCATTCTGGATGTTGGGACCAAGTAAGACAAGTAGGTCTGGAATAACATTGATGTTTTTTTACATTAATGTTTGACTTCAATGGCGTTACTGTAATTTCCCTATCTACTATAAACTACATGGCCTATGGACAGGAAGCTTTGTTGGACTTATCTGCTGTACGGTTTCTAAAAACTGTTCACAGAATTTTAATGTGATAGCTTTATCATCTGCATTTGACTGGGTAAAGAACTGGTTTGAGCATCATTTCGGAGAATTTGATACATTTGACTTGACACATAAATACAAAGTGAAACAGGTTCAAGCAGGACCAAACTGTGCATAGACGGTAGGCCAGTGTCTTGGCCAATAGTATTAGCTGTCAAGGCAAAGGCTAAGGACATGAACAGATTTGTTTCTTCTGACAGACGACTTAAAAGAGTGTATGTGTAAATGGTTATGTTTTTGGAACTGATAGTTTCCGGAGTTATATACATGAGAAAGATTCCATAAATTACAGGGGGTAATAATATCTTTATGAAAAAATCCACTTTAACCTTTATTTCTCATGGAAAGGGGGTTACATCACTAAAAATGCAGTGCCTCTATCTCCAATAAAAACAATTAAAATAAATTTATGTTTTATTGTTGAATTGAATTTTTTTTATCATCAGAACCAAAACTGAGATGTGCTGTAAAAAAGTGGTTGTTATTTTCTTGCTGGTACCAACTTTGGTCAGTGCTGATGATATAACACAAATATGATATCCCAAATCGCAGAAATTTATCAAGTGTAAGGATTCCAGATATGGATTTTTGCCACCATCAGAATTAAATACTATTACGACTTATTACGTTATTCATCTTATTCTGTCCTCTCGCTTCAAAGAATACTACCACCAGTATGACTAATTGTATGTTGATTGTATGTCTCGGCATTGTTTGGCAACTGCCTCCATTTTGGTGGAACATCGTTTCTCGGAACATATTACCTTGTTAATATCAAGACCCACAACGTCAAGAACTCTTCTTCGACTGAGTGCATATGGCAAGCCATTTGCCTACATTTCCTACCGGAACCCATTTCCTGGATTTCACATAAAGCTTCTTCTGGATGAGCGCCCAGAGGACTTATACCAGCGACTTAATGCCTTTGTTTGGCACAGCCTCTTGGTTCATAATGGTGGCATTGCCCATCATAGTGTAGAAGTGACAGAGGATGAGGAAATGTCCCCATCAATCGACATTTACATTGTTCTTAGCTGGTTACAAGCCATTCTTAATGCTATGTTCACACTATCACGATTCACGCCACGATTGAAATTGTGGCTATAATCGCGGACTACTTGGGGTGATCCTATCAGACCTTATCAGATCTTATCGGATCTTGAGGTCAGTCGTGGCAATTGTGTTGATCGTAGAAAAATTTTGGACGGTTCAAAAGTTTTCTACGATTAATTGTCAACCGCGAACATCGCATCAAAACGTATTGCATTGTAACAAAGCACAACATATCCCATCTAATCGTACTTCAAAATCGTGGTGATCCGAATCAATCGTGGACAAGACAAAGATCACAATGGTTCTGGGTTGTAGTGTTCACTCTCTAGAAGTTCAAGAACCAGTGAAATCCATGGTCAGTTGGGCTGTATGTATACCCATCGGGGTCGAATTGTAGCTCAAATCGTGATCACCCTCGACCGTGATCGTGCAAGACATCATGATCGCGACCACAATCGTTTCTTATCGCAACAGAGTGCATCAGTTCACGATGAACGTATCGGGACGTACCTGCACGCACAAGATCGCGACCCAATCGGGATCGATCGGGACAATCCTATCACAACGTATTTGATCGTATCTGAATTGACCAATCGTGCCAATTTCGCATCCATGCGTAACAAATCGTACCAGAACGTATCGACTCACATCACATCGTATCCAAACCTAAAATTTCAGAGATGTTTCACGATCAGCCTCGAATGGCCTATCGTGGCTTTCTTAACGGATCGTATGAGAGTGGGAACCTAGCATAAGGATCTGCCTCGCCTCACGAAGCACTGATATGACAATGACTTGAGATCCCATACTCTTGCTTCCCTTAAACCAGAAATATCCCAAGCCTTAGGGTCTCTTCTAGGTGAAGTCCATTCTTCAGAGGAGGTGAAAGTTATGAACTCTACTCCATTACAATTTGACAACAGATCAGCCTTAAACGGACCAGCCCGTATAGACTTCGCAATTCCATCACCACCAAAGTGTGTGCATTATGTAAACAAGCCTGTTGTACCGACATCTCAGAAACAGAAAAGTGGAATGCTATGTGCGTAGCAGAAAAGACTTGGTGCAAAGCTAGCGGTTTGGAGGAGAAAAGATTAAAAGTTCCTTTCATGGACGCCAGGAAAGATTTTGACAGATACACGTGTACAATGTGCTAAGAGACAGTATAGAAGTAAGATACACAGAGACTTGGAGGAAATGTGTAAAGAAAATCAGCCAGAGTTCTGGAAATCAATAGGGAAAGTGGGAGTGGGTACTGAGAAACAGAAAATCATCCCTTGGGAGTTAGTGTCCGATTATGGAAGTGTGATTAAGGACAAGGACGCTGTCATGAACAAGTTGAGAGATGAGTACAGGAACACGTTAAATGGTGACGTAACTGTGGTTGATGATGATGTCGCTCAGGAGACTACGAATCTGGAAGATGAAACCTTCAATGAAGTCATAACTTTACAAGAGGTAAAACTCGCTGTCAAGAAGTGTAAAGAGCCAGGAATTGATGCGATTCCCAGTCACTAGTTACTAAAAAGAGAAATAATGGTAAAAGCTCTACATAGACTTTTCAATGTGTGTTTGATAGTTCCTGTGTACCTGATATGTGGTCAAGAAGTATCATATGTCCTATCCCAAAATCATCTTGTACAGATCCACAAGATCCTATGAGCTACAGAGGTCTGACCCTTGCCCCTGTTATCTAGAAGCTATATTGTGTTGTACTGGACACAAAACTTTCAGCTTGGGCTGAAAAATACCATATTTTAAATGATGTTCAAAAAGGGTTCAGGAAAGGTCGATCTACAATGGACCACGTGTCTACGCTTACTTCCATCATTGAAAACAGGAAACTTTGTAGGATGCCCATGTTTCCAGCTTTTATTGACTTTCAAAAGAATATGACTGGATTGACAGAGGGGAACTATGGAAGAAACTAAATACAACCGGAGTTCATGGCAAAGACTGGTGTCAACCAAGGACTTAAACAAGGATGTCTCTTTTCATCTCTGCTTTTCAATGTCTACATTGATGAACTTTAGATACTATTGGGAAGAGGCGTTCTGGCGGAAAAGAAGTTATCTCCACGCTCACCTATGCCGACGACCTTGTTTTAATTGCCGAATCAGAGAATGACTTGAATTTTATGTTATCTGTCCTCCAAAAGTGGTGCCATAAGAACAAGGTGTCAGTTAACAAGGACAAATCAAAGGTTACCCACTTCAGGGGCTTTCAGTGCCACAGACACACATCACCTTTAAGCTGTGAGAAATGGTACTGGACGTTTGTTCACAATACCAATACCTGGGAATTATCCTAACTGAACATCTGAGTTATAACGCAATGGTGAAGTGTGCAGTAAATTCAGCAAATAGAGCCTTAGGCTTACTCATCGCAAAATTCAAGCACCTTGGAGGGATGCCTTTTAATGTTTTCACCAAGCTTTACGTCTCGATGGTATGGCCGATACTACACTACGGTGCAGGGATATGGGGAACCAGTGAACCCTCCTCTGTCAACGCCCTTCACAGAGTTCTAAGATTCTTCATGGTCAATGGGACTAACCACAGTGTTAATGGTGACTCAGGTTGGCGACCCCAAGTGGTGAGACAGGTTGGAGACCCCAAGTGGTGAGACAGGTTGGAGACCCCAAGTGGTGAGACAGTGGACAACAGTAACCAGAACATTGCATGGTTAGTCAACATGAGTAAAGGACGGATGAAAAAACGGGTATTTTTATGGTCGAAGAATATGAACAGAAAGTGCTGGACTCGAGTTAAAGAATATTTTGAAGTCACTGGAATGGGACATTTAACAGCCTGTGAATCATTAGAAAGCCGTCTATTAACCAAAACAGTCGAAAGTGTATCTTTTACATCGAACTGGAGAGAGAAGTTGAATGCTGATCTTCGTCACAATCGTTCATCTACAGGTCTTAGCAACCTTAGACATTATAGACAGTTCAAATGGTCGTACTAAGATGAGAGCTACCTCACTTGTCCTCTACCCTATCACTTAGAGCCGCCCTTGTTAAGTTCAGGTGTGGGGTAGCGCCTCTGAGGGTTGAAACAGGGCGTTATGAGAATCTGTATTTTAATCATAAATATTGTTTTAGTTGTCTTAACACCACAGAAGATGAAATGCATGTTTTACTCTTTTGTCCTTTATATGCCTCAGTTAGAGCTGAATTATTTAAGTCTTGTTGTAATAAGTTAGAGGGATTTGATATACTGTCTCCAAATGTTTAGTTTTATTCTTTACTTAACAACGCCGTTTTAACCCTTGATAGTGACAGGGCCTGCAATAACATACCTCTTATACGGCGGGATATTTCATACAAATGATATACATGTATGTATTATATATTATACATATTTTAGATTTTTTACATTGTATTAGTGTCTGTCATAAATCGCTGAGCGGTTGGTTGTACAAACAAGCGAGACAAAAATAAAACTATACGTCTGTCTGTTCCTCAGTGGGCGTTCATTCCTACCTAATCATGAGAGAAGATATAAAGCTCGGGCTCCAAGGTTTTCAGACATTTTCGAGATAATAACTGTCACTTCATTCCGCCAGATGTTTGTGAGGACATCTATGACCGGTATCAGTGCACCCAAGAATATTCAGAACAAGCTACTATAATGAATATACAGGTTGGTCACTCTCCGTCAATGACTTCGACTACCCAATATCACTATTGAATGATGGGACACAGGGAATATGATTTGCCTATCCACAGCCAAATTTCTAGGCTTGGCCCCATACAGACTGTTCACAATTGTCAGAGATGGTAGCGAATTCAAGTTTGAAGGCCTTTTTGTTGAGAACTTAGATGTGGATATCTTGACTGGAGTTCCTTTCATGGAACTTAATGACATCACGGTTCGTCCAGTGAAACACCAAGAAATACTCGGGGAAGGATCCACTTATCTGTATGGTTCTGTGAAGGAGACACATTCTGAAGATACCATTAAAAAACGACACGATCTACACACCTCTCATGACAGCCAACTACTTTGTCCATGGGAGTGTCTCAAAGTTACTTAGCCGAAGGAGTTTCTGCCAGTTGACCCCTTGGTCAGGAACCCATCAGAAACATAATTGAATTACATTTGTGACGCAATTCCTTTGTCTGCTCGCTCTATTATTTTTCAGGAATGGAGCGATGTGTACCAGTTTATAGAGTGAACAATTTCGAAATCATACTTTTTGCATTACATTTTGAATGTAATTTAAGTAGGGTAATATCCTCTTAACTCGGATTAGGATGGGACTCAACCCAACAAAAGTACTAAAATTTGTACTTTACTAAGAAAGTGTAATCCCAAATTTAACATATGTTACATTCGATTTGCCAGTTACCTATTTTTGACAGAGATCTGGTAAAGGAGCAACATCGTCAGCGATGAGACAACCGTCCCCAAATGAGCTATCTGAGTTCCTATTGGTAGAGAGTAGTATATAGAATGGGGATTCTGTGACAGGCCGACTAAGAGCGTCATTATATATCAATTCTGCTTCCAGCCCCAAGTATAAATTAACGATTTTGAGCAGAGACACCATTCGATGCACATCCCAGACCCCTATAGGAGCCTTAATATCTGTAGGGTACCATGAGTTTCGGGCAACCCCGGGCGGGAACGAGGACGAATCAACAGCCTGCAATACGTCCCCCGTAGACTACAAGCCGCAGACGGTGCCGGATGCTAAGCAGCCACCAGTTCCCAGGTCATAGAATGGGGATTCTGTGACAGCCCGACTAAGAGCGTCATTATATATCAATTCCGCTTCCAGCCCCAAGTATAAATTAACGATTACGAGCAGAGACACCATTCGATGCACATCCCAGACCCCCGACATGCACCTTAGAAACTCCCCCCAGGGGGTTTGTGGTTCTGTTACAGGCCAACTAAGAGCATTATTATATGCCAATTCCGCTCCCAGCCTTCCAAGTATAAATCAACGATTTCGAGCAGAGACATCATTCAATGTACAGCCCATGCACCTCAACGATTTCGAGCAGACATCTTTCGATGTACAGCCCATGCACCTCAACGATTTCGAGAGGCATCATTCGATGTACAGCCCATGCACCTCAACGATTTCGAGAGACATCATTCGATGTACAGCCCATGCACCTTAGAAACTCCCCCGGGGGGTTGTGGCTCTGTTACAGGCCAACTAAGAGCGCCATTATATGCCAATTTCGTCACTCAATGTACAGCCACCTCAGAAACTCCCACTCAGTGGTTTATGAGCGTGTGCCCATACGCATAAGTCGTGACGCCGTCGGCAGCGATCCACCGTTTGGTGTCCATGGGCGACAGCGACGTCTTGTTGAGGGTGATGCCGTAGATGTTGCGTTTGTCGCTTCTCAACGCATTCATTCGGTGTTTGAACGTCTTATTCTTGAAAAGAACTTGTTTGAAGAGGACGTGCTTGATGTGTTGTTTCACCACGTATTTCTTGACCCCCTTTGCCTTTCGGATCTCACCCTTGTCAGCTTTCAAGATGGAGTACATCTTAGGCCTCAAGCTGACGTATTCAGCGATGGGTGTGCCCGCGCATTCGTCCTTCATCTTGCCGAGGACCTTTTTGTTGGTCGTGCTGTGTAGGACATGGTCCTTGGGGTAATCGCTGGTGTCGTACAGGTGTATGTGTTTTGCCATGTCCTTGTACACGTCCTCGGTGCATATATCCAACAACAAGGAATCCGTGTCTGTGTACCGAACACCGTATTGCTTCTTGAGCCGCTTGTAGTAGAAATCGTACATGAGATGTTTGGACAGGTCGAGAATGCTCATCCCCACATAGACGGGTCGGTTGAGCTTGATGTGACTTTTATTCATGTGCAGTGCCGCCAAGTCGTTATCGAATAGCTTGCTTTGGTTGAAGGCCGGGCTAGCAATCAGTTTCCTGAGTTTTTCCTCCTGGTGCGATCGCACGAGTTTGACCGTGACCCGTTTTCTCAGGTTCTCCATCGTCTTACCAAACACCGAGTTGTTCATGAGCTTATACAAGTTCTTCTCGAAGTCACTGGTGGCCAGCTTTCGCAGGTCCGTGTTCATTCTCATGTAGGGCTTCATCCAAGGACTTTGGTCAAACTTCAGCACCCTATGAATTTTGGTCAGCTTCATACCCAACGATAGGTACAGCTGCAGGTTGCGATAGTGCACGACATACATGGTCTTGTTCATCAAGTTCGGGACGCGTTTTTTCCACCCGAGACATCCAGTCTCGGCAGACCATCAACCGTTCGGGGGCCAGCGGTAGCTGTTGTGAGCAGCGTGCAATGCCTCGGGATACTCCAGATCCACTTCAAGGATGTAACCCTTCCCCGAATCCCGCGCGATGCTCGTGATATCGATCTCATCGTCCAACCACTCAAACCCCCCAGTAGGCAGACACTGACTCATAGCCCAGCCGTACAGGTTGTTGGCGTCGAGATAAAGGAGATGATTGGTGGGCTTGCGAGAGTCGTAGCCTTCCACGTACTTATTGTTGGCTTTCGCATAGCGTTTGGCAGCCATGGAGATCCCGCCTCTCGCAATCCTTTCTTGATGAACAGGTGCATGTCGTAATCCTCGAGCAATTCCAGCTTAACTCCGTTTTTCTTCAGCAGCGCATCCCACGATAGACCGGGGCTGGTGTAGTACCATGCAGGGTCGAGTTGATACTGTTTCAAACACGTCCTCCTAAACGTCTCGAACACATCGGCTAGCAAGAGCACGTCCGTTCTCAAGTACAGGTCATGGTAGTCACCCAGATTCTTACATCCCAGTTTCTCCCACACGTTCTGCGCGTGGTGGTAATCGTCCTGGGAGATATGGGATTTGGTCAGGTTGCTCGATGGGAGGTAATCGAGTCTCATCGAACTTAGACCAATCATCCATGTATTCGTATGGGTACACACCCTTCCTTATCAGCAGGGGCCGAGTCTCGGCGTTGGTGTGCCGATCAGTGATGGGGAAGGTGTCATTGGCTTTGACCAAACTATCGAGCGATGACAGGAGGAACTGAGCGCTGTCAATGAATCTCAGACCGTTGAGCGAGAACGAGATGTATTTTTCCATGTTGTTGGGGATGCACTTGATATCACCGTCGACCTTCGGGATGGACTGCATGATCAGGTGGGCATCGTACCCTCTCAGATTGTGGAAGACCACGGGGATGTTGATTGTTTTAGGGTTGATTCTAAGCTGGAGGTTGCACGCATTATGGGCGGCACCTCGGTACCGACCGGTGATGTGGCAGTGATCTCTCACGACATCCCCGTTCAGTGGCCCCTGGCATATATAGCAATTCTCAGCACGCTTGTGAGCGACTTGGTCCTTAGGCGTCATGCGCATGGGGGCAGCAGTGTACAGCCTTTCCCTAATGATTTTCTCTTCCTGCTGCAAACACATCAGGAATCGTTCGGCCGCGCTAGGACCTCGGTAGATGACTGGAGCGTTCGTTTGTCCATCGCATCGGACGACCACGTACCCGAACCCGCAGGCTTGGTGTTCTTGGGTCTTGCACAGTAGTATATACATTGATAGTCATGGATCAAGTCCAACAAAAGCCTCTGCGAAGCCTTATTTCACAAATAAAGCTTTTGTCAGGCCCTTAGATCTCGCCACCATTGTATCTACTACTTTTGAGCCCCCGTTGATTTCTCGCCCACACGTGGCACTACTGACCTCGTTGACCTCGATGAAACAGTTTAATGTGAATCGCCTATGATCTCTTTGGTGTTCGTAATAAAGGCTTGCTGGGCTTTTTGTATCCCCTGTTCTATGTACTTTTTTTCTCGTCCTCGCTGATAGCAGACTTACGAGACTTGGATCGAATCTCTTGTTTCATTTTGTTATATTTTGTGAGTTCAGAGAGGATTGAACGAAACTCCTCCTCTGAGATCTTACTGTCAGTGAGTGCCGTGGAAATACGCTCACTTACCGTGTTCAGCTTTGCTTCGGCCAGAACCCTGATCTCGTCGTGTTTCAATGCCTTACGATGCAGTCTGCGTGATGCAAACTTAAGCACCAACCCTAACACCCCTGCCACCCCAGCTGTTATTTCAATGCCTACCACTATAGGTGCAGCCCCGATGGTAGCTAACAACCCAACACCTGCCGCCCCTAGTCCCATGCTGGTTGCCATAAGGGCAGTATCAGTCCCTTCCACGGCATTGAAAGCTCTATGGCACTTCTTATAAAGTGCTTTCCGCGTGTCGCGGTCTTGTTCTAGTTGACGTTTTACATCACATAACTGTCTCAAGAGTAACCCGTCTACGGTTTCCAGGGTCTTCGCTACTTCCTCTACGACTGGGTACAGCCCCATCCTGTGTGCCTATAATATATCTTATGAGATATTTTTTAATTGGGCTTCAGTTAACAGTCGATCAACGTACTTGAGGCTTATAAGGTGTAAATCCTCATGTAGGAGAATAGGCGAGAAGTTAATAGGTAACTCTGCATCCACACGAGCCCCATAGGAGGGGCTTATTGAGGGGGCTATAGAACCCGTTGAGGGGTCCAGTTGTATGATGATACGGTAACGTTGATCATTGTACCGGGGACTCCAGTGTACTGTCACCCCGGTAAAAGTTGGTGTTCTTTACTTACAGAATGTCTCAGGATATAGACTTCTATGATGAGTGTGGAGCCTGGGACCATAGCCAGAACCCCTATGTGCCTGTAGCAGTCATACCTTAACTCACCCCCCGTGGAATGCCAGTAACATATTGGGTAAAACCAGTCTTAGTATAATCCTTGTATTAAGGCCCCGGAACGAAACACGCGGGCAAGGTACCGCTATTCTTAATTTCAGAGATATAACTTTGTTCCTTTAATGAGATATAAGGTGAGGCGAGGGTTAAGTTGACTACCCATTCAGGCTCTTTAAAATCTGATAATGACACCCGCCTATACACGTTGTCTTTGAAGTGCAGGATGTACAAGGCGTCTTCCTCACCAGGATGATCGAATCCCTCCGTGTCCCCTAGGTCGTTAAGCGTAGCGTTGGGGTGATGACTGGTCATTGCTATAATACTATTACGATATAGTTTCCAACTGGTTTTCTGATAATAGTTCAGGGGTGCACTTCACCCCCATGAAGTGTATGTTGTCGGGTAGGAAGATCTTGGTTAGTGATATCGTGTGTTCCACGATCACGGTGACTCCCTGCAGACT